TCTCACAGGGGTTTCTCACAATCAGATTTTGCCCAAGTTAGGGGTATTCTCTCCACCCTCCAACTTGAGGGAGGGTGTGTGTTAAAATAAAACCCCATATTAATTTGAAAGAAGATGAAATGAAAACGAAGAAGAAGAAGAAGAAGAAGAAGAAGAAGAAGAAGAAGAAGAAGAAGAAGAAGAAGAAGAAGAAGAAGAAGAAGAAGAAGAAGAAGAAGAGGATTTCATCGTGTATAGAAATGAAGAAGAAGAAAGTCTTTAGACAAAGAAATGGGGCTTCGGTGTTTTCTAGATAAAAGTCCCTATCTTTCTTTCTTATATTTGACTTAATTAACTGTACACGTGGGCACATCTCAGCCCTTGAAGTAATTTAATATGTGTCATTGATATGGCAAATCCAGTTGTTCAGAAAGAGACTATTTTATACGTGAGATGCACATGTGAGCACATGTAAAGGAATAAAATTAGTTTTTCTGTTATAGCATTAGGGAATGAGAATGAACAAGTGTATAATATCATTTTATTTTATATTTTCTTTTAGCTAAATTACTTATATAAAGAGATGCAAATACCGTGAATACATCATCAGAGTAAATTCTACAAAATTCATTGCTTAATTGCTTTCAATGTTCCACGAAGGTAACTTGATTATAATAAGATTAATTAAGTTTAATGTTTAGCAAGGCGACAAATAAACAACTTGTACATATATAGCTGGATAAATCTTTAGTAGAGACAAATCTTGTTATCTGTAGTACCATCATGTACTATCAATCGTATATTTTATTTGCCTTAATATATTTGTTTGGTCAAGTTGTTTTTCGGCTAAAAGTATTTTTTCTTCTCAAAAGTATTTTTTTTTTAAAGTTAAGATATTTGGCCAAAATTTTAAAAAGAAAAAAGTGCTTTTAAGTAGAAGTCGAAGCAGTTTTTGAGAAGCAGAAAAAAAAAATTCTCCCTAACACTCTTTTGAAAATCACTTTTGTAGAAAAAAATACTTATTAAAAACTTAGCGAAACACTAATTGCTACTCAAGAGTGATTTTCGAATTAATTAGTCAAACATAAACGGGTTCTCACTAAAAGTGCGCTTTTAAAAAATACTTTTGAGAAAAATTACTTTTTAAAACAATTTGATTTTAAAAGTTTGGCCAAACAGACTATAAAACAACGTTGTAAAAATTGTGTTTATATAAATTGTCGTTATCTGGAAGAATTAAGTTTGATGATTACAGGTTTAAATCAGAACGAATGTTTTGATATAAAATTTCTTCCCGTTATCCACTATTATTTGTTTTTAGAAATTAGAAATACAATTTGGTATGTCAAAATCGGTCTAAGGCGTGAAGTAGGGGATTTTTGTTTTCTCAAATATTTTTCATGGATAGTTTGAAGCGAACATAATGAAGATATATATATATATATATATATATATATATATATATATATATATTCTTTTTTTTTTCTTCAAATTATTGAGAATTTCCTTGTGTCTTCAACAATGAGATTAGACCAGCAGAGCAATTGATGTCATTAAATTCTGCCAATTTCCCAATTTGTCTTTCCACTTCCATGCAATTTTGTAGGCATATTCGCATTAGTCCCAATTTCTTTTTCATAATCAACTGATACTAGTCTACTAGGAGTAGTAGAGTGAAGTGATTTGATCTGAGTACTTATCGTGTACTCATCAAGTGAAAATTGAAGAACACGACAAAGATACATTTGGATTATCTGCATTATTTTTAACTCCCATGTATTACTATTTATTTGGGTTGCTCTGGTAGTGAGCACCCTCCACTTCCAACCAAGAGGTTGTGAGTTCGAGTCACCTCAAGAGCAAGGTGGGGAGTTCTTGGAGGGAGGGAGCCGAGGGTCTATTGGAAACAGCCTCTCTACCCCAGGGTAGAGGTAAGGTCTGCGTACAAACTATCCTCTTCAGACCCCACTAATAAAATTATGCTGAGTTATTATTATTATTGTTGTTGTTGTATTATTACGATTTACGAAATTATTTCAATGAATTATGAAACAGAGTCATAAAAGTATAATATATTTTTCTACTTTTGTCTTACATTTTTTGTTGGGTATAGTATAGGTAGGACAACTTTTCGTTTCAATTTTTATTGGCAAAGAATTTAGCTATCAATAGAACTCTTCATGTGATCTCTATGTTTTTTGCTCCTTATTCATTGTACCAGCAATTTTCTGGGATCTGCAAAATAATTGTGCCAAATTAGAGATTACTTATAGTATGATAATTACTTGATTTTCCAATAGTATATATGGTCGAATTTTTGTGCTTTTTGAAAATATAGTACCTTCCTGGTGGTCTAAATTTAATGGCAGATTGTACGTCAGTCTTTCTCTTGAACTATATATTTATAGTTTTAAAATGGACACATACAGACATACATAATAATAATGATTACGTATATATACACAGACTAAGTTTATATTTACTATCATAAGCAATAATGATTTAAGTAGTACTCCATTTTCATAATTTCACCGCCATAAACTATTGAATTTGCGTCTGTCGAAATTTCATTTGTAACAGAGGAGGTAAATTAAGCAAGAAAAAAATAATAAATTAAAAATAAAAGGAAATTTTACCTCCTATAGCAAAGGTATACACCATCAACAACAACAACAACAACATACCCAATATTATCTCACATTGTGGGGTCTGAGAAAGGGTAGTGTGTACGCAGACCTTACTCCTACCTTGTGAGGATAGAGAGACTATTTTCAATAGACCCTCGGCTCAGGATAATATAAGTACCACATTAATGAAAATATAAGCAAGAAGGGACAGTACCAAAAAGCCATATAAAAGCAGAATAAAATAACAAGACAATAAGGTGATCAACAATGAAAGAAAACAACGGTTAGTCATAAAAACATACTACTAACAGAAAGCGAGACTGCGTGCCAATACTAATGTTATGAACACTCTACACTACCTATTCTACTACCCTAATCCTCGATCTCCATACCTTCCTATCAAGGGTCATGTCCCTGATCAACTGAAGTTGCGCCATGTCTTGCCTAATCACCTCTCCCCACCTCTTCTTTGGCCTACCTCTACCTCTCTGTAGGCCCTCCAAAAACCTCTCACACCTCCTCAACAGGGCGTCTGTGCTCCTCCTCCTCACATGACCAAACCACCTATGCCGCGCTTCCCGCATCTTGTCCTCAATAGAGGCCACACCTACCTTATCGCGAATAACCTCATTTCTGATCCTATCTAACCTGGTGTGCCCGCACATCCATCTCAACATCCTCATCTCTGCAATCTTCATCATCTAGACATGAGCAATCTTGACTGGCCAACACTCAGCCCCATACAATATCGTTGGTCTGACCACCACTCTGTAGAACTTACCCTTAAGTTTCGGTGGAACCTTCTTGTCACACAAAATATCGGAAGCGAATCTCTATTTCATCCATCCCGCCCCAATACGATGTACGACATCTTCATCAATCTCCCCATCCCCCTGAATAATAGACCTGAGGTACTTAAAACTCCCTCTCCTAGGGATGACCTACGAGTCCAGCCTCACCTCCCCTTCCCCTCCTAGAGTCTCGCCACTGAATTTACACTCCAAGTATTCTATCTTGGTCGTGCTCAACTTGAAACCTTTAGATTCCAGGGTATGCCACCATACCTCTAATTGCGCGTTCACACCGTCTCGCATCTCATCAATCAATATAATATCATCTGCAAATAGCATGCACCATGGCACCTCCCCTTGGATGTAGCGCGTCAGTACGTCCATCACCAGAGCAAACAAAAACGGGCTGAGTGCCGACCCCTGATGCAACCCCATCATAACCGGAAAATAGTCCGAGTCCCCACCCACCATCCTCGCTCGGGTCTTTACTCCATCATACATGTCCTTAATCAACCTAACGTAGGTAATAAGTACACCTCTAGCCTCCAAATATCTCCACAAAACCTCACTCGGATCTTTATCGTACGCCTTTTTCTAAGTTGATGAACACCATATGCAAGTCCTTCTTTCTCTCCATATACTTCTCCATCAATCTCCTAACAAGGTGGATGGCTTATGTAGTCGAACGCCCCGATATAAACCCAAAATGGTTCTCTAAAATAGTCACACTCCTTCTCACCCTTAGCTCTACCAGTCTCTCCCAGACTTTCATAGTATGGCTAAGCAGCTTGATACCCTGATAATTGTTGCAATTTTGGATATCACCCTTTTTCTTATATACAGGGACCATCGTGCTCCATATCCACTCTTCGGGCATCTTGTTCGTTCTAAAATGACATTAAATAACCTAGTGATCTACTCCAAACCTGCCTTGCCCACCCTCTTCTAAAACTCCACCGGGATTTCATTCGGCCCCGTCACTTTGCCCCTGATTATCTTACGCATAGCCCCATCAACTTCATCAACTCTAATCCGCCTACAATACCTAAAGTCACAATGCCTCCCGGAGAGTTCCAAATCACCTAGTACAATGCTCATTTCCCCCACCTCGTTCAAGAGACTATGGAAGTAGGTCTGCCATCTTCGACGGATAAGCCCCCCATCCAACAAAACTCTACCTTCTTCGTCCTTGATGCACTTCACTTGGTCCAAGTCACGCGCATTTCTTTCTCGTGCCTTGGCTAACCTGAACGACCCCTTATCCCCTCCTCGGCCCTCTAGTTCCTTATACAAACGACTAAAAGCTGCAATCTTGGCCGCCGTAACTGCTAGCTTACCCTCTTTCTTAGCCAACTTATAATGCTCCCTATTCTCCCTCTTCTCCTCCTTGACTACACTTTCCAGTAACTTCAGATACACTGCTTTCTTGCTATCCACTTTTCCCTGCACCTCTCTATTCCACCACCAGTCTTCCTTGTGCTCACCAGAGTAACCCTTTGAGACCCCTAATACCTCTCTCGTGGCTTCCCTAATGCACTGCGCAGTCGTGGTCCACATAGCGCTTGCGTCCACACTACTCCTCCAAGCCTCCATAGTCACCAGCTTAACCTCCCAACTCATGTGGTTTGGCTTCAGTCAAGGCTCCCCACTTTATCCTATGTTGGCTATACATCGCCCTCTTCCACCGCTTCTTTGTGATCTCAAGGTCCATGACCAGAAGACTATGAAGGGTCGAGAGGTTCTCACTCGGGATGACCTTGCAATCCGTGCAAAGACCTCTATCGGACTTCCTGCAGAGTACATAATCAATCTGAGTCTCGGCCACTAAACTCCGGAAGGTGACCAAGTGCTCCCTCTTCTTCAGGAAACTCGAGTTTGCTATCACCAAGTCAAATGCTTTAGCAAAGTCCAGCAGAGACGTTCCTCCTCCGTTTCTATCTCCAAAACCAAAGCCACCATGCACATCATCATACCCCCCAGACATCGTTCTAATGTGGCCATTGAAATCTCCTCCTATGAAAAGCTTCTCGGTATGCGGGATACCACGCACCATCTCATCTAAATCCTCCTAGAAACGCCTCTTGACTTCCCCATCCAAGCCTTCTTGGGGTGCGTACGCACTGATTATGTTCAAAGTAAAATCTTCAACAACTAGCTTAATAGTCACCAGCCTGTCATTCACCCTCCTAACCTCCACCACTAGTTCACGGAGGTCGTTATCAACCAAGAAACCTATCCCATTCCTGCCCCCACCCTCCCAGAATACCAAAGTTTGAAACTGCCCACAACCCGCGCCTTATCTCCTACCCACCTAGTCTCCTGTACACAAGCTATATTAACCTTCTTTTTCTCGAGAATTGACACGACCCATTTTCTGAACAAGCCGTGGCCGGCACCGGATCACTAAACATGACCGAGCAAACCATCTGTGCTTATCAAATCTATTATAACTTCAAACTTTATATGCAACAAGGCAATACTTTAACCAAATACTTTTGATTAATTTAAATATTTAAAATAAATCAACTCCAAAACTTTATTCGTAGTAACTACTGAAATACTGCTAAGTTATTATCAAAAACATCTGAATCTTAACCCACCGACTGTGTCTATGAAGCCTCTACTGATAAACTGACGCACTGCTCAGGACATGAGATTTCCTGGCCAGTTCTCTAAGTGAACAAAGAAATAGCTAAATAAAGATGACACTAAGGAGTACTCCACGAACAAAAGCGGAACTCACCAATAGCACTGGAAGTGAGGGAAGTCCTAACCCATAGCCTGCTCGCCTGCAAAATCGGTTCCTACGTTGTACCGCAGACCAACGTAGGTTCCCAAAAGAGAA